TTTTTTCAGGCACTAAATTAGGTATATTTTAATAATGCAACTGCCAGAGTTCCAAACGGTTCCTGCACTCTTTATACATAAACTCTGGCAAATGAAAGTTGTTTTATTTCCATAAGGCAGCGTTCACAAAGAGCACTACTAGTGCAAGGTGCCATTTACTATTCAAAGTGAGCTACAAAAATTTAAAACAGAAGGTGAGACTTCTTTCATCACTTTTCATTCCTTAGGTTATGAACCTTACAGGTAGTAGTTATGCTCAGTAGCTGGCCTGCAGTTCATGTGTAACAGCACCTGGCTTGATTTTGCAAAATGTAACGTTCGTATGCAGCCCCATTAGAGATCAAACAAGTCCCTGTCTGATGGCAAGGATACTTACTGAATTATATTTTCATCAGAGCCCAAACATGATTTTCAGAGTCAGTTTTCCTCCTTTATAATACTCCAGACATTTACAAAACAAGGGCTTACCTGTTTAGTAAGAACAAAGTAGGCGTAGAAAGCCATGGCACTCCCGTAAGTGATGAAGTACGTGACCGGCTCCATGATGTCCCACGAATACACCCACCACGTGAGCCACGCCAATGCTCCCCCCTGTGTGGACATCAGAGCTAAGCCAACCCATAGGAGCCTGGAGGTCTTTGCATCCGCACTGTCCGTGATTCTGGCTTTCATCTAAGGAAAAGAAATACAGAAACCTGTTCAAGTAAACAGGAGTGCTCATCTGATGAGCAGCTCCTCAACTATGTTTTCTCCTGCTGGGCTGGATCGTTTTTCAGGATCTTTTCCTGACTCCTCTTACTGAATTACCCTGCTGAGAAAGAGAAGAACTGAAATCCAAGGGCAACAAGATTTCCTGGCTGTTGTGCACCAAGAAATCCTGCTCTTAATCTCCCCTTCCCACTACTAGGCATTTACGTCTACTGGATTTCCATTTATCACTCAAGGCAGCTCTAGTTAATGCTGAGGCTGGTCCTCACAAAGCGGGTCTGAAGCCAAGGGAAAGTTTGTCCACTTTGTCAGGCTCTTTCTGGCTTCCTCCCTTCATGTTGAGTTGGCTTAGCCTGCCCTAGATCAACACTCATACCTTCCCTCCTTGGGTTCTGGCAACCATCAATCCAAACAATTTGCCTTGCTGCCTTGGTGACAGAGAAAACCCTAGCCTAAGCCACAGATGATTTCCACCTTACTATTCTGTTTTCTGTAATGAGTATTCAGAACTCGTACAGCCACAGGTGACTACGTGGACTTTCAGTCCCAATACCGGCCATGCTGAGGCTTGTTCACGACAGCTTTCTCCACGTGTTGGGGTTTCTACCCAGGGAATGTGCATAGCAGGAAGGAAAAAGAACTGAATTGAAAACAATTTGAATTATATTTGAACTGACCCTCATTTACATAACAAACAAAACAGACACACCCTAGCCATTCATGCTGATTTTCTTCTATCACAGGACTTACTCTTGATGAAAGGAAATGCTTTTGAGTTTTTTTTAAAAAAAAAAAGTAACTCCACTTTCCAACCTGTTCAAGAGGCAGCAGCTCTTCCTTCAGATGGTCCAGTTTCTGTAGCAATTCTCTCTCTTTCCTGATCTGGTGATTTTCTAAGTGTAGAGCCACAAACAGTCTGTGAACCAAGGATTTGATATCTTCCATTTCAGTGGCATGCTCACTACTCAGCTTATCTGAAAAGAAACTGTTTGTCATATAAAACATTTCAAGAACCCACCCTTCTTCATTCTCTCCCCACCTCCAACCCCAAAAAGCCCGACCATCCAATGCTAAAAACAAGAAAGAGAAATTCCTTTCTCCAGACAGGTTCCAGTTTTCTGAGACTTCTCTTGCCTTTCACAAGATAATCAAAGTTATTAAGCATCGCTCTTACCTTTTACAGGAGGTGACACACTGTATGCTGTTTTGTTGATAACAAGTTTAAAGTCATTCATCAATAAGACTTCCATCAACGTTGCATCAGAGACCTTGCTACCATCTGCAGAAGAAAGATTTAAGTTCTAAATCATTTATCATATGGAATCTTAAATACAAGCTGATAGCCCTTTGGAAAAGTGCTAAAGAGATCTTTTATTAATAATGTTTGGAAGGGAACTGTACTTTTAGTAGATCTGGTAACTGATACTAAAGAGCAAGCAAGAACACATCAACACAAAGTGTGTCCCTGAATGCTTTCTCTGGCAGTTTAATTCGAACTTGTCACAACTATGAGCAGACTGCATTTTCTTGTGTTCTGATTACAATTAGAATCAACACATTGGGAAGGAGAGAGCAGAAGAAAAAGAAGTCTTGCATAAAACACCAACAAATTGCAACATGAAAGATATGCATTTTTGTTTCTCCATACACACGCAAGTTTGCATCTTCACTAAGACAAAGAGTTTTGGGAAATTAAAAGACCTTCAAAGAACTCATCTTCAGTTATAGATTTAGGTCTTTCCTTAAACAGGCTCTTCTAGCCAAAAGGACCAATTCTTGTCAGTAGTGGTGTTCAGATTTTTATTAATGGTACTTCAGATCACCCTGTGTCACTCCCAGTTGTGACTGGGAGTTAAGAAGTAGATAGCTAGATGTCACCGTTTAAGGCTGGGCCGGCAACTGGCCAGTACAAGGCAGACCAGGAGCCACAGAGACATTAGTCTAAAAAGCTCCAGAGAACCCTTTTCTACTTTTCTTTTTTATGCAAAAATTTACATGAATACTACCCCATCAGCAACAGGCTGAGAGAAAAAAAAAAAGCACCAAACAAAACATATCTATTTTAAATGACTTAAAATCAGAGACAAGGGGGCAACTGTGACATTCAATCAGGAAAGCTGGTTGTTGAAGATTTTATCCTGCTATTACATTTGTTCCTTCTTTTCATTCCCTCTCTACCATTTTTCTTTGCCAAAGGCCCTTTTACCCAAAAGGCAGTGTTTGTGTCCGCCTAGAGCTTAGAAGAGATCTGCACTGGTAGATGGACCACAACTTCAATATATGAAAATGCTCTCATCCAACAGCATGGACACACTGCGGCCCTTCCCGGGTGTTCTCAACACAGCAGATCTTGCAAGATTAGTGCTTTCTGATTTCTGGGTAACAGGAAAAATAGCTGCACCCCTATGAGAAATGGATCCCTTCCTATTCTACATTCAATACACAAGGGGGGAATGTAATCTAAAACTTCTGCTGTGTGAAAGATCTGTTTTGGCCCATCTCTGCTTTTTGTTTCCCCCGTTTAAAGGGGCCTGAAGTTTGTAAATAAACTCTTTTCTTTAGTATATGACTACTCTTCCTGCCTGCTGGCTTTCATATCTGCTTATCTCACCGTCCACCGCAGCCAGGAAGCAAAGGAACACATCACATCCTGCAGGGAGCTTTTTAAGCATTTAAGCAAAAAAGGCTTTTCAAAAGAAATGCCAAATAGGCTTTTTGTTCTGGATGGGATACAACATCGATTTATTAACCTGTCCAACCTTTTATTAACTGAAAAGCAGAAAAGACACTGAAAAGGAGCTCTGGAGTCATTAGGAGCAACAGTGGATCCCCAGAGCTGTCACTGGCCCAAGTCTGGCAGATCCCAGAGTCACCCAGTAAAACCAGTTCCCCCAGGGGGTTCAGATGCCCCAAGAACCCCAGGAGCAACAGCCCACT